CCTGATCATGCTATTAACATACCTCACAAGTGTACACTAAGTACATAGGGTGAAATCCTGGCCTCAACTTCCCAGTGACAAACTTCCCCTTGACTTCACGGGGCCAGTATTTCACTCAAGAAGTTTTAAACTAGAAAAGAGAATTGTGTATTTCAGAATTAAAGTGTTTGAATCTGTAGAGTTATTTTTCCCAAACATAACCACAGACCTCATACAGAAGGACTCTAATGCTAAAATCACTGAGATATACTGGTTTCCATGACTTGAACATGGAATAAGCATGGAACATCTTAATAAGCAATCAGCAGAAAGATCATATAAACTAAAATCTCAATGATTTGAGTACTCAGATTGCTCCATACTTTGGGTATCTTGATTATTTTATACATTCTCACTTTAATCCATTATTCAAAGTCTCTACAAGATTTCAAAAACACTGCTTTGTTTTTATCTTTTATTTCTAAGCAGGCTGGTTGCTGAATGTGAGATACTGTCTGTCTAGATGTCACTTAGCATTTAAAAAAATTACCATTTTAAGAGAGCAGTAAAATGCTGGTTCCCTGAGGCCAAATCATCCTCTCCTACCTTAAAACCTGCAGTGGTGGGCTCTGGAGGAAGGGATCTCCCTCAGAATTCCCTCCTGAGATCCCTTAACATCAGGGAGGCAGTTTTTTTGTCACTGAAGAAAAGGCAACAAGGCCCATTTACAAATCTGAAGGATCCATAGGAATTTGCATAAGCCCTATGCTGTTGCACAAGCATCTCCCCCTTCTTCCTAGCAGCTCAGCTTTATTGGAGCCTTGCTATTAGAGATTGCCCCATCTGGGACTATATTATCTTTTCCAGGGAATCTGTATGGGACTGAAGGGAGGAGATGTGCTCCCAACCCCATCCATGGCCTACTCACTTCTCCCAGATCCTTCTAATCTCTACTTTCTCCCCCAACATGGACTCTAGACCCACAAAGAATGCACCACAGGCATGTGTGGAGGTGAGGGGGAAGTGGTACCATAGATAAGCATGGCCTTTCCACAGCACATGAGATCCACACATGGATAGGGCCCCTTCTGTGTACACTTGTCAGGCGGATGAGCCAAGCCTTCATTTGTATCAGTATTTCCAAGGTTCACAGTAACTTAGTTAAGGATTGCTCTCAATCTTTAAATCATAAACTAAATTCAAATGATTAGGAAATAGTTCAAATTCAGTTCAAACATATATCAACGAGAACACTTGCCCAAAAGAAACAAGGATTAGACTTGTAAACTCAACTAAGTCCTCTAAGTGTATATATAAAAAAAAACAAAAACTTTCACAGCATTGAAGTATCAAATGATTTAATGGCTACAATTAACAGCACTTTTGAAAAGTGGTTTTTATTATAATTATTCATTAAAAATTAAGCTGAAAAAAGTGGGTTATAAAAATATTTGTACCCAGAACTATCATACAATAAACTGTTTCTTCTCTGATAACTTCAACACTATGTCATTTAATATAACAACAGACCAGACACATAACAAACAGAATTATTATGATCACCAGGGAAGTATGCTTCACAAAGCAATTAATCCTCTGTAAAAAGGATTTCTTTTAAAACCCTGTGATTATAGCCTCTTTAAACATATAGGGTTTTTTTAGTTCTGTTTCTTTTATTTTCTTCATTCTGTTAATCGTATGTATCTGAATCTCACTCTGCAATTTTCCTGCTTATCAAAAAAGATGCTTAATACACTGTGATTAGCCCATTGGATGGAGATTTATAATTTATATTCTATGAAAGAGTTTCATGCTGCTCTAAACAGTTATCTCCTTTATTGTATTTCCAGTGTATGCTAGTAATGTAGGAGTGAGAGTATTTATTCTTCTCACTGAATAAAAGCGTCATATTGGTTCATGAAAGGGAAAAGTGCATTTCAAATGTGATATAGAGGGAAACTGTGAGCAGAGGTATACAAACCAGTCATGGGTATGGGTAGCACATTAATAGACCTATGACAGCTTGACAAAAACTTCACAATGAACAAGCTTGCTTGGTTTCCAAAAGCATACCAAGATTCTGCACTTAGCCTAATTAAAATCATACTGTTAATTTCTTTTCATTCTCTTATTTGTAATAGCCATTCTTTCTCTTTCAATTCTTTATTTTTTCCATTTATGGAAACTGATGATTTCCTTCTTTCTTTACACTGGAGTAGAATATGTAACATGGTTTTGTTGCTTTGTCTTGTTGACTTCCTCCATACAATCATCCTTTATATCTGTTATACAAAAAGATCTTTATTTTTATTTACTTAACCAACCAAGTGAATCTTTCAGGATGCACCTGTCATGTTAGTGAATGATACCAGCAACAGTTGTCAAACCTTTAATGGTGCATTCAAAGCCAGATCCAAAGCCTATGGAAGTCAATGGCAGTCTTTACACTGACTTCCATGGACTTTGGGTCAGGTTTTCAGTACACGGAAAGGGGGTACTTCTTGTCTGAGCGCACTGGCAGCTAACATTAATATCATGGTGTGCTCTGGAAAATGTTCACTCAATGGACCACTCTTATGTGACACTAGACAAAACAAGATCTTCACAATTTTATGCTGCTATCACTACATTTTTATTGACTTTCCAGAACTTGAACAGCTTAAGAGAAGTAAGATTTATTGTGAGTTCAGGAAACCATGACTTCTCAATCATTTTTATTTTTCATTATATTTGAATCTTGAATGAGTATTTGCCCAGAACAGGCTAGTAGTCTTAGCTGGCCATCTAACTTAATAAGATTTTACAAAAAGACGTTGTTTTATTTAACCATAGCCCAGAAATTTCAAATGTTATCCCTTCAAAACCTACCAAAACCCTTGCTGACAACATATATGTCAATTTAGATAATCTCTTTCTCACTCAAATTACTCGTACAGCCAATTATTGATGCTGAGAACTTGTTTGAATCAGTAAATTTCCCAGACATTCTTTTGATCCATTTATCAGTATTATACCCCACCCATTCACTGGCTGATCCTTTACAGGATTTCACAATGATTAAGTGGGAGAGTAGAAGAACTGTACCACAGAGCAGTACAGGCTGACATAGCAGGTGTGTAAAGAAAACTCCACATCCTACACTAGTTTGATGACCATGTTCTTACTCCTCCTTATTCTTCCCATCATTGCAATTAAGAGAGTAGAATGGAAAGGGGATGTGTTTGGGAAAAGGAATGCATTTGGCACAGAGGAAATGGTCTTCTCCAGATTGGCACAAACAGAACAGCAATAATAGTCTACGAAAATTCCTGTAATGAATTTGAGTAGGAATATGACCACTGCAGGTTTATAGATTCATATGAATGGTATTCTTCCTGCAGTAACTGACAATGGGATAGCTACTGGCAACAGGCCCAATGCTTAAAAACAAGGTAACACTATCATCTCAAGCTGATTTGTGGACTTGGTGAGGTTTATTAGGCCAATATTTTTTGTATACCTTGGTAATGCTGGAAAGTGACTAACTGAATAATCCAGTGTGAATTTTGGCAGTACAAATTGCTGGAATACTTATATTTTCCAATGCTGAGGGCAGGATTTTGTGTGCTTCTATGTGCATATGGGCAATGTTGAAGGTGGAATTTGGATACTTTTATTACTCAGAATGATTATTTTATATTGTTATTGGACTATACTCAGAGTTGGAATATTTGAGTTTTTCTTTAATAATTAAAGATTATTAATTTAGAATGATTCTGGCACAAACCATCAGGGGAAACTTGGAAAGTATGAAATACTCCATATTCCTATAGTCCATGATTCCAAAACAAAGCCAAGTTTTGACAGGATTAAAAAATGTATACATTATATATTTTCTGTGTTTGCGGTTCTGCATAGGTTGACATATGGTAATAGGGAAATGTGATTTTACAAAGAAAGAAGGATAAAAATAGTCCCAAAATATTTTTTTAACTCCCTGATTTTTTTTTCCCCACAGAGGCTTTGTGACATAGTCAAATTATATGAAAGAGTAACCTGATATGAATGCTTCATGGCACTTGCTTGGATAACTTCTGTAATTTTTGCTGTCTTTGCCAAGAACGAGTTGTGTTCTCATTCTATACTCACCATGATTAAAGCTTTATACCACACTATCATGTATTCTCCCTCACACTGTATATACATGCACATGCTTAATCACACAGCTTCCAATCCTTCAGTCTGGGGTAGGAGCCAGGATTTTGCTTCTGTCTTATTTACCTGTGGTTGAATCTTTCAAACAATTAGCTGCAAATCCACTCAATATTCACTGGCATAAAGGTGGGGTTATTTTCCTGTGATCTCTATTAAATGTGCAACATGCCAAGATTTTTAAATAATGCATACAAACGCAGGTAGGTGTTTGCAAGAAGTGGCTAATTTCATTCTTCATCTGAAGCATTTGGATTTGCAGACATTTAATATTCTTATTGCACGTTTCTAGACAGCCCATTTTTTCATAGAAGAAAGTCTTGATTAATTAAGAAAAAAATCATGGAATGCTCATCTTTAGATTCCATTTTTTATTTTATTTGGTTATAAATATAAGTAAGGTTGAGAAACATTCAGGAAGAAAAGGGGATATATTTATTTTGATTGTCCCCTTGCAAACACCAGGTCTCTTCTCTGCAAAACTGAGCTGGAGAAACAACTTCTGGGCAAAGGGCAACCCTCATTTAGCAGATTTGATATGAGGTAAGAATCCAAATGCTAACTGTGAAACAGACAGAAATTAGGTTGGACAGATGAATTAGTAAAGATTTCAAACTGTAAATTATTAAGAAGGACTCTGGTTTAGTGGATGAGACATCAAAAACAATGTAAAGCTAGGTCTGAATTAATATAGAACAGGGAAAATAACATCACTTATCTTTTAAGATTATTTATGAGGAGAAAATGAAAGCAAAGGGATGTTCTCTTAAATAATATTTGGCAATCTCAATTTAGAATGTATTGCACTGATAAAATGCTTCTGTACTCACTTTTTTATAATATGGCAGCTTGTTGTCTTTATAATGTTCTATATCCTTTAATAGAAGAGGAGAAGCCAACATTAGTATCCGCAAAAGCCCAAATAACTTATTATATTAGGTCCATTCAAAATCTGCAGGAAACTTGGTCAAATGATAGAGAAATTTTAGGAAATTCTGAAATGTGTTTTAAAATCAAATGGTCTCAGAACTGAAAACACTCTTATGTTGTCTATTTTTTTTGTACTTTTACTAGTATCTGTAAATAAAACTACTTTTTTATTTCAGTCTGTTTTCCCAAAATTTATCCCCAATCCTAAGAGATATTTAATTCCCCCTAAAAGTCTTCAAAAATGTATAGGCCTTCTTTCTTCCCTTCCTTCCCTTAAGTCTATGATGAGGACACAAAGAAAGAAATAAAATAAGCCACTAAATAATTTCCAACTTGGAACCTTATTCCTATAGACTGTCCTTCTACATTAATCTAGCTCAGTGGTTCTCAACTCTGGTCCACTGCTTGTTCAGGGAAAGTCCCTGGCTCGCCAGGCTGATTTGTTTACTTACCGCATCTGCAGGATCTGCCAATCGTGGCTCCCACTGGCCGCGGTTCGCTGCTCCAGGCTAATGGGGGCTGCAGGAAGGGCGGCCAGCACATCCCTCGACCCGTGCCGCTTCCTGCAGCCCCTATTAGCCTCGAGAAAGTGAATAAAGGTAGTGCATATCTTTGTTAAGGGCAGCCCATGGCCTCAGTCTCATTGAGAACACTGGGAGATATTCACCATTTGGAAAGAGGGTAATGCTTCTTGAATTTTTCCAAAGGAGATTATTATTCTTCCACCTTTACCGAAGGAGAAACTTTCAATATTGAAGTATGATGGGGAAAATGACTACTAACCTTCAACATTTCTTACCAAAAAATTACTCCCTGTACCATATATACTCAAGTCAATGCCTGAGCTGAGATCATTCGGACCAAAAATATGTCTGGGCACAGAGTGCTACATTTCTTAACATTAATTTTAAAATGGGTCCTATAAATCAATTTCATTAACAAATTTACCTGTAAGTTTTCAGAAAACTCATTCTGTACTCAAAGAGTAAGTGCTTTAATTTTTGGGTGGATAGGCTGCATTCTTCATACATAAAGTGATTAAATTCCTGCTTTCAGTGCAAAACTCAACTCAGTCTCCACTATGTCGCTCTTACCGACACCTTCATAATATGCCAATATATGCTGATAACACCCATTTACTAGTTATCTATCTTCTACAAGAAACAATCAGACAATTATAAGAACATAATAATGGCCATACTGGGTCAGACCAAAGGTCCATCCAGCCCAGTATACTGTCTACCAACAGTGGCCAATGCCAGGTGCCCCAGAGGGAGTGAACCTAACAAGTAATGATCTAGTGATCTCTCTCCTGCCATCCATCTCCACCCTTTGACAAACAGAGGCTAGGGACACCATTCCTTACGCATCCTGGCTAATAGCCATTAATGGACTTAACCTCCATGAATTTATCCAGTTCTCTTTTAAACACTGGTTTCAGAGTAACAGCTGTGTTAGTCTGTATTCGCAAAAAGAAAAGGAGTACTTGTGGCACCTTAGAGACTAACCAATTTATTTGAGCATGAGCTTTCGTGAGCTACAGCTCACTTCATCGGATGCATACCGTGGAAACTGCAGCAGACTTTATATACACACAGAGAATATGAAACAATACCTCCTCCCACCCCACTGTCCTGCTGGTAATAGCTTATCTAAAGTGATCATCAGGTTGGGCCATTTCCAGCACAAATCCAGGTTTTCTCACCCTCCACCCCCCCACACAAATTCACTCTCCTGCTGGTGATAGCCCATCCAAAGTGACAACTCTTTACACAATGTGCATGATAATCAAGTTGGGCCATTTCCTGCACAAATCCAGGTTCTCTCACCCCCTCAGCCCCCTCCCCAAAACCACACACACAAACTCACTATCCTGCTAGTAATAGCTCATCCAAAGTGACCATTCTCCCTACAATGTGCATGATAATCAAGGTGGGCCATTTCCAGCACAAATCCAGGTTTTCTCACACACACCCCCCCCACCCCCATACACACACAAACTCACTCTCCTGCTGGTAATGGCTCATCCAAACTGACCACTCTCCAAGTTTAAATCCAAGTTAAACCAGAACATCTGGGGGGGGGGGTAGGAAAAAACAAGAGGAAATAGGCTACCTTGCATAATGACTTAGCCACTCCCAGTCTCTATTTAAGCCTAAATTAATAGTATCCAATTTGCAAATGAATTCCAATTCAGCAGTTTCTTGCTGGAGTGTGGATTTGAAGTTTTTTTGTTTTAAGATAGCGACCTTCATGTCTGTGATTGCGTGACCAGAGAGATTGAAGTGTTCTCCGACTGGTTTATGAATGTTATAATTCTTGACATCTGATTTGTGTCCATTTATTCTTTTACGTAGAGACTGTCCAGTTTGACCAATGTACATGGCAGAGGGGCATTGCTGGCACATGATGGCATATATCACATTGGTGGATGTGCAGGTGAACGAGCCTCTGATAGTGTGGCTGATGTTATTAGGCCCTGTGATGGTGTCCTCTGAATAGATATGTGGGCACAATTGGCAACGGGCTTTGTTGCAAGGATAAGTTCCTGGGTTAGTGGTTCTGTTGTGTGGTATGTGGTTGTTGGTGAGTATTTGCTTCAGGTTGCGGGGCTGTCTGTAGGCAACGACTGGCCTGTCTCCCAAGATTTGTGAGAGTGTTGGGTCATCCTTTAGGATAGGTTGTAGATCCTTAATAATGTGTTGGAGGGGTTTTAGTTGGGGGCTGAAGGTGACAGCTAGTGGCGTTCTGTTATTTTCTTTGTTAGGCCTGTCCTGTAGTAGGTAACTTCTGGGAACTCTTCTGGCTCTATCAATCTGTTTCTTTACTTCTGCAGGTGGGTATTGTAGTTGTAAGAAAGCTTGACAGAGATCTTGTAGGTGTTTGTCTCTGTCTGAGGGGTTGGAGCAAATGCGGTTGTATCGCAGAGCTTGGCTGTAGACGATGGATCGTGTGGTGTGGTCAGGGTGAAAGCTGGAGGCATGCAGGTAGGAATAGCGGTCAGTAGGTTTCCGGTATAGGGTGGTGTTTATGTGACCATTGTTTATTAGCACTGTAGTGTCCAGGAAGTGGATCTCTTGTGTGGACTGGACCAGGCTGAGGTTGGTGGTGAGATGGAAATTGTTGAAATCATGGTGGAATTCCTCAAGGGCTTCTTTTCCATGGGTCCAGATGATGAAGATGTCATCAATATAGCGCAAGTAGAGTAGGGGCTTTAGGGGACGAGAGCTGAGGAAGCGTTTTTCTAAATCAGCCATAAAAATGTTGGCATACTGTGGGGCCATGCGGGTAACCATAGCAGTGCCGCTGATCTGAAGGTATACATTGTCCCCAAATGTGAAATAGTTATGGGTAAGGACAAAGTCACAAAGTTCAGCCACCAGGTTAGCCGTGATATTATCGGGGATAGTGTTCCTCTCGGCTTGTAGTCCATCTTTGTGTGGAATGTTGGTGTAGAGGGCTTCTACATCCATAGTGGCCAGGATGGTGTTATCAGGAAGATCACCGATGGATTGAAGTTTCCTCAGGAAGTCAGTGGTGTCTCGAAGGTAGCTGGGAGTGCTGGTAGCGTAGGAGAATAAATGGACACAAATCAGATGTCAAGAATTATAACATTCATAAACCAGTCGGAGAACACTTCAATCTCTCTGGTCACGCAATCACAGACATGAAGGTCGCTATCTTAAAACAAAAAAACTTCAAATCCACACTCCAGCGAGAAACTGCTGAATTGGAATTCATTTAGAATTCATTTGCAAATCCAGAGTGAGTTTGTGTGTGTATGGGGGTGGAGGGGGGGGGTGTGAGAAAACCTGGATTTGTGCTGGAAATGGCCCACCTTGATTATCATGCACATTGTAGGGAGAATGGTCACTTTGGATGAGCTATTACCAGCAGGATAGTGAGTTTGTGTGTGTGGTTTTGGGGAGGGGGCTGAGGGGGTGAGAGAACCTGGATTTGTGCAGGAAATGGCCCAACTTGATTATCATGCACATTGTGTAAAGAGTTGTCACTTTGGATGGGCTATCACCAGCAGGAGAGTGAATTTGTGTGGGGGGGTGGAGGGTGAGAAAACCTGGATTTGTGCTGGAAATGGCCCAACCTGATGATCACTTTAGATAAGCTATTACCAGCAGGACAGTGGGGTGGGAGGAGGTATTGTTTCATATTCTCTGTGTGTATATAAAGTCTGCTGCAGTTTCCACGGTATGCATCCGATGAAGTGAGCTGTAGCTCACGAAAGCTCATGCTCAAATAAATTGGTTAGTCTCTAAGGTGCCACAAGTACTCCTTTTCTTTTAAACACTGTTATAGTCCTAGCCTTCACAACCTCTTCAGACAAGGAGTTCCACAGGTTGACTCTATGCTGAGTGAAGAACGTCCTTTTATTTGTTTTAAACCTGCTGCCCATTAATTTCATTTGGTGGCCCCTAGTTCTTATATTATGGGAACAAGTAAATAACTTTTCCTTATTCAGTTTCTCCACACCACTCATGATTTTATATACCTCTATCATATCCCCCCTTAGTCTCCTCTTTTCCAAGCTGAAAAGTCCTAGCCTCTTTAATCTCTCCTCATATGGGACCTGTTCCAAATCCCTAATCATTTTAGTTGACCTTTTCTGAACATTTTCTAATGCCAGTATATCTTTTTTGAGATGCAGGGACCACATCTATACGCAGTATTCAAAATGTGGGTGTACCATGGATTTATATAAGGGCAATAAGATATTCTCCATCTTATTCTCTATCCCTTTTTTAATGATTCCTAACATCCTGTTTGCTTTTTTTGACTGCTGCTGCACACTGTGTGGACTTCTTCAGAGAACTATCCACAATGACTCCAAGATCTTTCTCCTGATTAGTTGTAGCTAAATTAGCCCCCATCATATTGTATTTATAATTGGGGTTATTTTTTCCAATGTGCATTACTTTACATTATCCACATTAAATTTCATTTGCCATTTTGTTGCCCAATCACTTAGTTTTGTGAGATCTTTTTGAAGTTCTTCACAGTCTGTTTTGGTCTTAACTATCTTGAACAGTTTAGTATCATCTGCAAACTTTGCCACTTCACTGTTTATCCCTTTCTCCAGATCATTTATGAATAGGTTGAATAGGATTGGTCCTAGGATTGACCCTTGGGGAACACCACTAGTTACCCCTCTCCATTCTGAAAATTTACCATTTATTCCTTCCCTTTGTTCCCTGTCTTTTAACTAGTTCTCAATCCATGAAAGGATCTTCCCTCTTATCCTATGACAACTTAATTTATGTAAGAGCCTTTGGTGAGGGACCTCAAAGGCTTTCTGGATAATGGTAATCATCCTGCTCAGTAAGCCACTGCTGACTCAATACCAATCTAGTTAAATTAATATTACTAAAGTTAAAGGAACATTTTGTTTATAGCACAAGATAAGAATCTCTTACAATCATGTGTAATTTTTTTTCATTACATTTTAAATTCTCTAACCATTGCTGGAGGCAGCCATTGGCAATTTCTGAGATAGATAGAAAAATAGATTGGAGTTAGTATGGTCAGCTCGATGAAGATGTCTGCTCAGTGTGTATTCATGGTCAAAAAGTTACTCAACTCTTAAAATTCTATCAAATGCTTCAGAATACAAATAATTCTGCAGCCAAGATTAAGAGATAAAGTTAACCCATGGAATAGTGGTGTAGAATTATGTGTATTGTTTGGAGTTCAGAATGCCCACTAAAGCAAATAGCATTGGCCACTGTGTGTCCATTGGTCTGTTTCCACTCTGTCTTGCTATGAAAATTTGAAGGTACCTATCCTACAAAAATGGACAGGGTAGCTTATCATCAAAGGCTGTTCTTATTGGATTACAGGAAGTTTAGAAGACAGGAGTACAGTGGATGTTACTGGCTATTGGTGCTGCAAATTATCTATCACCTAATAACAAATCCTATTGCTTTTGATTGCCTGCCTCAGGAATGATTTAAACATGTTGCATTTACTTCTGCCTTGGTTGCTGCTTGTGCCTTGATCTTCATACATGCGAAACCCGCAAAAAAACACAGAAATTGGGCTTGTTTTTGGCTTAATTGGCTTGTGAGTTGCTTGTTGGCTAGTTTTTGGCTTGTAGCTTGTTGCTTGTTTGGCTTGTAGCTTGTTGCAGCTCGTTGCTTCTTTTTTCTGATGGGCTCCCAGCAAGCAGGGACAAGGGTGGGGAGAGAGTCAGGGATGCACAGCAGGTCCACCACAGTCACAGACTGCATGCCGGGGGGATTTAGTCAAATAGATTGTTGGGGTTCTGAGAGATTGACTTGTTTTGGCCTTGTTTTGAAATGGGATTAGCTTGATTTTTGGCTTATTGTGAAAGTCGGGGTGCTTATTTACTGTGTGAAAGTTGGCAACTGTGTTGATCTTCCTTGAAACTTTCTCCCCTACTCTGGAGCACTAATAAAAGTGTTGGGGAAATGAGTATTCTTTTCATGCCTCATTCTTCTTTCTACTAGTTCTTTTGTTCTTACCCTTCATTTTGTATATTTTATTATCTGTCTCATATTCACAATCCCAAAGCCTGTGCTTATCATCATCACCCTGAGAATTCTCCTTCCAAAAAGAAAAAGATGAAAAAAATGCTTATATACCGTATTTTATTTCCAAATCCAGGAACAAGTAAAATGCCAGCAGCTAAATTGTACATGGTAATTTCTGCCTCCTAATTGTGAAATTGTTTTCCAATTTATTTCTCAAAGGTTTTCTCTAGAGAGATTCACCTAAACTTCCTTTTTTCTCATTAGCTAGGAGAAGGCTTCTAATGGTAGCAAATCTATTTCCCTAATGGTAATCCCAATAGATATCCTCATTGTGATGTTTGGTTTCAGTCGCATTACTGAAAAATGCATGTCTTGAATGCATAGAAAAATTCAGAAACTAAAGCTGAAGAATTATTGTAAGGCTGTACTTCTGGCTGTTATGATTCACCTGCAGAAAGCACATTCTTCTCAATGTGGAGCATAGTATTATCTCTATGGTATCAGATAAAACTGCCCATTTTAACAAATAGGGGCAGTTTGATTTTTCCCCCCAGGGGACACACCACACTCCCCTTGAGCCATAGTTATTGGAGTCTTCTGCGTGCAGATGACCCTACTTGAAAACTTTCCTGGATCCAGTAGAGCCCTCTGCATGCAGCCATGTGGACTTAGGTGCTCAACTGTAGGCCACCATTTTTAAAAATCTTGGCCTAATCATATCTGGCTAAGTCCCAGCTATTTAGCTACAAAACTTAGAGGAAATGTTTAGCATAGAAAAAGAGAGTATTAACTACAGCAGTTAGATGAAATTAAGAAAAAAAATGTAGCAGAATATCAGGAAAAGTTCCCAACAGCAGCAGAAGGCACAGGGAAGCAATGGAAGCTAAAGCATTGGGCATTAAACTACAATAGGGCAAATGTACAATATGCGAGCAATCCAGTTCTGGCAGGATTTTGGTCTAGAAGGATTTTGTCATCTTTAGGCTCCATGACTCAAAAATCATGAGTCTCCCAGGCACACTGTGAGAATTGAGAAATAGGCATCTGTCACACCTGACTTTTGCAATTTCTATACTTTTATGTTCTGAAGCATTTGATATAGACTCCTTTAAAATACTTAAAGTATATATTTCCTAGAGCACAATATATATGGTTTTACTCTGCTGTTGCAACAAGAGGTGAGGAAGGAGGATTTCTCCAAAAGAAACAGTCATGAAGACTGAATTCATTTAACAGAATGATGATGTGATGTGAAGTGATTGCAAATTCCAGCAGCTTCTGGAATGGAGTCTATGCTATTCACTCAGGCATAGTGATAGCTTTCCCGGGGGGAGGGCGGGAAGAAGTGAAAATTGGATATGTTGTGATGGTTTGGTGGTAGAATACAAAAGAAGTTGTTAGTCACAGTGTTTAAAACCCCCTTCAGGACTGAAAACATTACCTCTTCACTGTCTTTGTACCACAGGGCAAAGCATATGGGAAAGCTTGGCAATGTAAGCAATTAGCAGCACTTTGCGTGCATTCACTTCACTCTGAGTGCTAGATGAGCATCTCAGAGGGAGAGTATATCCACAAACTTTAAAAAGCCACAAATTCAAAACACGTGATCATTCATTTAATTAAACAAAATTATCTAAAGCTACATCAGCTGGCATTTTGTTCATTTCACCATGCTTACATACTGGGACTGACTCCTCTGTGGTTATTACTTTCTGATGGCACTGTAGCTTGCCATTTCATTGATACGAAGAATACATGCATACACATTGTATTGCTCTGCATACATAGATAATACATGCATATTACGGGCATTGTATTTTGCCTAAAGCTCTTCAAAAACAAGATCTTACTTGAGTCTCCATGGCACAACTTTAGAAATGATCATTCATTTTTCAAAAAAGCTGGGCTTCTAGAAGAACTGTTTAAAAAAAGCAAAAGTGGGAGGACTTCCTTTCAGGTGTTGAAGTCTCCCAAATTATTACAAAGACAGAATGGATTAGCAAGGTAGCTAAAAATTCCAAGAATCTTCATATATTCATTTCATACCTGAGAGACACCACTCCATGACTCTGGTAATAAGTTTCCCGGAGCTACCTACATGTAAAGAAGTGTCAGAGTGTGAGGAGCAAAGTACCATATGAGGAATGTGGTTTTACGTTAAAAGAAAATTTGCAATGGAAAATGGATGAATGGTGTGATCAGGTATGGAAGATCTTCTGTTCCTACATTACTGTGGCATATGGGGCCAGATCCTCAGCTGGAAATCAGTGTCGCACTATTCACTTCAGTGGAACTATGCTGATTTATACTAGCTGAGGATCTGGCTCTTTATTCTGAAGGAATAAATATGCTCATTTTTGTGGCTGTTGGTGTGTTGTATTGTTTTGTTTTGTTTTTTACCACAAAGTGAGGGCCAATTAAACACTCCCTATGTGGAAAGATAATTATATGTTTTTCTTCGTTTAGAAACCTCTGGTAGCTTAACTATGCATTTCAGTAGCTACAGTGTCTGTTCACAAAGAAAGAAATCTCACTGAACAAAGCATTTTCTTATTACAATATCAGCATTTTGAAGGAATCTTTTGACTACAGTTTGTACTTTTAAAGTCAATCTGAAATCAGAGATTTCCATTATTCAGTATGGTGTAGTATGGTGAGCTGTAGCTCACGAAAGCTTATGCTCAAATAAATTGGTTAGTCTTTAAGGTGCCACAAGTCCTCCTTTTCTTTTTGCGAATACAGACTAACACGGCTGCTACTCTGAAACCAGTTGTAGAAACTTTTTCTGCTTTAGGACAGAATGGATTACAATAATGCCATGCATATTTTACTGCAGTTATGTACTTTAACTCAAATTTTGTAAGTCACCAAAAATGAATATTTAATATTTGAAGCACTAAAATAAATCTTGCTTTGTCAAGAGATTACTTTTAAATAAATTTGGAAGCATGGTCCTACAATTGATTCAGATGGGCTTTTTCTCTTGTAGCCAGACCAGTATGCATTCATTTCTGGCCTGGCTCAAACGAGCTCCACAGAATTCTAAATGTAGCTGCTGATTTGGATTTGATTACTTTGAGTGAAATGGGGGGAGGGAAGGCGAGAGTGGATTTTTAATAGAATCTCAGTTAGACACATCGGGGGAGCTTGACTCTGTCAGTTTAAATGTACAAATCTACCCTCAACAAAAGAACGTGTGCCAAGAGGATGAATGAAACCTGGTAAACATTATAGTTAATTTATTGCCTGAAACAACAGCCCTTTTAATTGATTGACAAATCAACAGAAGCAAAGAATAAGAAAAGTAAATGAAAACACTGTAGGAATGGACAGCTTTGTAATTGGAAATTGAAAAGGTCACTAAATGTGGCTCAGTGTAATTTATTTGAATTGAATCATTATTTTATTGAAATCTTTATTTGGAGCCTGAATATGGACAACACTAACTTTAATGCAAGCCATTTTATTTTGATGACTTTAAACAGCAAATGTGGAGCTGTACTGTTCCTGAAACCAAACAGTGACCAGGCTACTACATAGTGGTCGTGATAATGTGAAGCCAGTGTGAGATCTTTCAACAAATGATCTTTCTTTGGAGCACTGTGTCCTTCAGCAATAAATAATACTGTGTGTAAGATACTGTCAAGGTTCCTCCCCACTCTGAACTCTAGGGTACAGATGTGGGGACCTGCATGAAAAAACCTCCTAAGCTTATCTTTACCAGCTTAGGTCAAAACTTCCCCAAGGTACAAAATATTCCCCCCCGTTGTCCTTGGACTGGCCGCTACCACCACCAAACTAATACTGGTTACTGGGGAAGAGCTGTTTGGACGCGTCTTCCCCCCCAAAATACTTCCCAAAACCCTGCACCCCACTTCCTGGACAAGGTTTGGTAAAAAGCCTCACCAATTTGCCTAGGTGACTACAGACCCAGACCCTTGGATCTTAGAACAATGAACAATCCTCCCAACACTTGCACCCCCCCTTTCCTGGGAAATGTTGGATAAAAAGCCTCACCAATTTGCATAGGTGACCACATAGGTGTCTTTTTTACAAGAAGACTTTTAATAAAAAATAGAAGTAAATAGAAATAAAGAAATCCCCCCTGTAAAATCAGGATGGTAGATATCTTACAGGGTAATTAGATTCAAAAACATAGAGAACCCCTCTAGGCAAAACCTTAAGTTACAAAAAAGATACACAGACAGAAATAGTTATTCTATTCAGCACAATGCTTTTCTCAGCCATTTAAAGAAATCATAATCTAACACATACCTAGCTAGATTACTTACTAAAAGTTCTAAGACTCCATTCCTGGTCTATCCCCGGCCAAGACGACTACAGACAGACACAGACCCTTTGTTTCTCTCCCTCCTCCCAGCTTTTGAAAGTATCTTGTCTCCTCATTGGTCATTTTGGTCAGGTGCCAGCGAGGTTACCTTTAGCTTCTTAACCCTTTACAGGTGAGAGGAGCTTTCCCCTGGCCAGGAGGGATTTCAAAGGGGTTTACCCTTCCCTTTATATTTATGACAGATACTATTTTCAAAATTGCCTAAGTGACTTAAGAGCCTGAGTCCCATTTTCAAAAGTCACTTAGGATTTTTCTACATGAACATCATTTAATTTGCGGCAAGCTGAGGTGTGCATCTACCCCACACTAGACTAGCACAGTCTAACTGTCCATGTGAATCCGGCTTATGCAGCACCAATAGTTAGTTAAAGCACTTTAGCCCATTCCTGTTTCAAAGCAGAGTAGATCAAAGCACACTAACAAACTGTGAGAGTATATCAAAGTATATCATATATGGCAGGCAAGCACAGGGTAGATTCACAGCCCTGCTTGCCACAGACTAAATGTTTGTGTAGACAAGCCCTGAGACAGTTAGTAGCCCGAATCCCATTGACTTTGAAAATGGGACTTTGATGCTTTAAATTTTTCTACCCATTGTTTTTATAAATTTTCAGATGAAATAGTCACTTTTCAAAAGAGGGTAATATTCATGATTTAAAGATAAAGAAACTTAGGTATGATGCAGAGACGTGAAGATCACAAATTTACACTGGAATAGAACCTAGATCTTCTGACTTCTAGTCCCTGCTTTACCCACCAACTAACAAAACCTCAGTATCTCTTGAGCAGAACACCATTTCACCACACTCACCATTACTATATACAATTATATAAATTAGAGATGGGAAAGACCTATCACATCTCCCTGTCAATCTCCCCCGCAACTGAAGATTGTTCTCTACTGTACTTTTTCTAATGTTGTGGCCAATCAAACTCTGCCACATTCCCTCTCATGAATTTTCCTCCTTATATTCAGCCTATGTATAACCCAAATTGGAATCTTTTAGCCAACTACTCGATAGATAGGATAAGAGCTGGGCAGAGAATGGAAATTTTGTTTCACAGAGAATTTTGAGATTTCAAAATTTATTTTCATTCTGATTTGGAATGAAACATGCACATTTTGACATGCTCCATTAAAGAATTTTTTTTAAAAAAAGAGTATAAAATCAGTAAAAATATTTAATTTTAATTTTGACTTTTTATTATAATATATATGATAACAGAAAATTAAAAATATCAAAACAAAAAGTCATTTTAAAAGGAAAAATTGAAATATTTCATTCCAAAAATATTGAAACAGAATGTTTTGACCCTCTCCGAACTTTTTTTTTTTACTTTGCTTTCCTGCAAAACATAATTCCAGGAAAATCAACATCATTTCTAAAGTGTTTTGGTTTTGATAGAACACCAATTTTCCTGGAAAACTGTTCTGTCAAAGCTCTTCTGACCAATTCTATTTAGGATAAGGAACTGAAATCAAACCAAGTAACAGACTTCCTGGGACACAAAACCAAATACTTAATTACAAATGCAGATTACTTGAAAGATTACTTGGTACGATTTGTGAAAGATCCATTCAGACATTTATGAAAAGCAAACACAGATATTCTTTAAAATCATAATCAGTTCTTGGGTAGTTCACACACAGGAAAAATGTCAAATTCATAGGATATATTGTACAGAATATATAGTTAGTCCAGTTGCACCCGGAATGCACCAGAGGGTAAACGTGTAGAGTGGAGGCAGCCTCTATGCCAGCTTCTCTGATACCTGCTCTTTAGTAGCAAGAAACAGATCAGAATATAGAAACAGCCACACCTAGTGGCAGGAGTCACCAAAAGAGTAGGATTTTATAGAGACTGGGAGTGGCTAAGTCATTATGCAAGGTAACCTATTTCCCCTTGTTTTTTCCTACTCCCCCTCCCCCCCCAGACGTTCTTGTTAAACCCTGGATTTGTGCTGGAAATGGCCCACCTTGATTAGCATACACATTGTAAGGAGAGTGGTCACTTTAGATAAGCTATTACCAGCAGGAGAGTGGGGTGGGAGGAGGTATTTTTTCATACTTTGTGTGTATATAAAAAGATCTTCTACACTTTCCACAGTATGTATCCGATGAAGTGAGCTGTAGCTCACAAAAGCTCATGCTCAAATAAGTTGGTTAGTCTCTACGGTGCCACAAGTACTCCTTTTCTTTTTGCGAATACAGACTAACACGGCTGTTACTCTGAAACCTATGCAAATACAATGTCCTTGCCAAGAGTAAGGAAGATATGCAGCTTTCTTCTAGGAACAGTGCTGCTCTTCATCAATTTTGTTGCTTTCCTCTAGTTAGTCAATATCTTCCTAATAATAAAATGTACACATACCTGAAAGCAACACTCTATTTGTGATCACACCACAGCAGCAGCCAGGGACTTACCTTTCTACTCCATGATGTGATATTTCTGTGTAACAGATCAAAACTGCAAGGATCTTTTAAATTTATTTTTGCTGCTGTATTGCATCAGAAACTGTTTCCTAACTTGCCATCTCTTATTAGCGCTAGGACTTCTTTTGACATTTCTCCTTCCCCGGTTCCTCCCCTTCTGAATTTTGGATTATTTTCTCCAGGTGCATTCACTTTGTATTTTTCCAAGATGTTTACAAGTTATAATCATTCATGCTCTCACTGCTTTGCACAGCTCCAGCAATGCTGTAAACTTCTCTCAAGTGGCCAACTGCGGTGAGTTTATGGCTA